ACGGCCGCCCGGTCCCGCGAGCCCGCGATGCCGTAGCTCTGCGCAAACAGGTTCGCCGCCGCCATCACGTAGTCCAGGTGCAGGGGCTGGAGGGGCACCAGGGTCAGGGGGCACCCACAGGGCATGGGCGGCACCCAGGGCTGACGGGTGACACCCAAAGGTGACACGGGGACACCCAAGAGGGATGGTATGACACTAAAGGGGGACAGGTGACACCCAAAGGTGGCATGTTCGAGTGAGAGGCATTAGCTGAGTGCCACGGGGCACTCACCCAGAGGTGAGCAACAGCCACCAGGAGCGACATCCATCACCCAACGGTGACATCCTCCACCCAAGAGCGACCAAGACCTCCCAACAGCAATGGCCACCCCCAAGGGACGTGGGGTGATGTTGGAAATGGACAGAGAGCACCCAAAGACAGTGGAACCCAATGATGGCCAAAGACACCCAGGGGTGATCGATGGCCCCCGATGGGGACTGATGGCACCTGAAGGATATGCCCCCCCACCAGGTGACAGCTCCCCCCCCCCCCACATGGGGCCCAACTCACGTTGTTGGGATCAAAGTCAAGGGGGTGGGGGCAGCGCTTGGGCCCCGACCAGAACAGGGTCCCCGAGTTCGTTCTCTGCAGGGGAGGAAGTGAACGAGGCAATTAGGGGTTAACAAACCAACTGACGTTAATGATGCTCCCCATGGGTGCCCTCCCCTCTCCCAGGGCCCCTCCCTGTGTCCCCCAAGCCCCCACCTGTTCCGGGGGGAAGTTGTGCAGCAGCTGGAGGATGTTGTTTTTGTACTGGCGGTGCCAGTGCCGACAGGCCCAGGCCACGCAGTCGGGCCAGGCCCGGGGCCGGTCGCTCACGAGGCTGCGCTGGACGGCCTCGAGCACCTCCAGCGGCTGCGTCCCCGCCAAGCGCAGCGTCCGCTCCAGGAACTTGGGGTCCCTGGGAAAAGGAGGGACGAGGGGGTTACAGAGGGACACAGGGGGCTATGGGGAGTTCAGGGGTCCCAGCCAAGTGCACCGTCTGCTGCAGGAACTTGGGGTCCCTGGGGAAACGGGGATGGTGCGGGGTACAAGGGGGTTACAGGGGTCCCGCCCAGGTGCAGTGTCTGCTCTGGGAACTTGGGGTCCCCAGGGGAACTGGGGTACAGGAGGGTTATGGGAGGTACAGGGGGTTACAGGGGTGCCGCTAAAGCACAGTGTCCATTGCAGGAACTTGCAGTCTCTGGGGGAAAAGGGGGTACAGGGGGGTTAGGGGAGTTTATGGTGGGTACAGGGAATCACAGGCGAGTTATGGGGGGGTTATGGGGGGGTTATGGGGGGTACAGGGGTCCTGCCCAGGTGTAGTGTCCACTCCCCGGGAGAAATGGGGGTAATGGGCTGCCATGGGGAGTGGGGGAAGGGCATGGGGTGCTGCATGTGAGAGATGCAGGACATATGGAGGGGATTCACGGGGGCTTTGGGGGTGCCCCCTCTCCCCCACACTCACATCAGGTACTGGTTGACGTTCTCAGCTGGTTGCTTGAAGAGCCCCTCGAACTCGTCACGTGCCCACTGCAGGGGAGGGGCTGTCACTGGGGGGACCCTGGTGCCTGGGACCCCCCAAAACAGGGACCCCAGCACTCCCCAAAATAGGACCCCAGTACCTGGGACCCCTCAAACAGGATCCAGGTATCTGGGAATCCCCCACGGGGGACCCAGACATCTGAGACCCCCCTAAAACAGGACCCTGGCACCTGTGGACCCTTCATGGGGCACGAGGTGCCAAGCACACCTGGACACCCCTGGCAGGTGCTTGGCACACCCGGACACACCTGGAGTGTGTGCTCGATGGCGTTGGGGAAGTTCTTGAGGGTGCAGATGGGAATGGCCTTCTCAGGGGGGTCCTGGCTGGAGCTGTACGACTCACTCAGGAACGGGATCACCACCTGCACGTTGCCCTTTGTGCCCAACGTGCCCGACTCCAGCAGCGGCTTCCGGTAGTACACACAGCGCCGGTCCATGTACAGCCCTGCCGGGACCTGGGGTCAGCTGGAGACACGTCTGGGG